GGTGCGTATTGGATCAATGTACCCAATATGTATACGACGCTGCCATGGATTGTTCTCTTTACGACTGTCCTGATGGTTTTGCCCTTCCATATCAACACACGCAAGTATGCGCTGGGTACCAACGCTTACTTTAGTAAGTTTTTTATTAGACATATTCAGCTGTGAAAACGTATTTGTTAATGCACGTTTGTGTTTTCATTGTATGTGCGCTTAGCTTTGACAATCATCAATCCTGCTAATCCTGCTAATCCTTTAAATCCTGGTCAACTGAAAGGAATTGATGAACAACTCTTTGCTACTAGCAACATATTGCGCAACTTGCAGGTGTATGCGATGGTAGGCGTTCTCGGCGCGTTTATTTCGGTTGCTTCTATGTGTGTTCCTTATCCAATATTGTAAGTATACAACTATTTGAGAAAATAACGATTGTGATATAGATGTTTTACCTCCGTCTGCTTTTTAGTGCCATCAGTCGGCTACGTGATAACTCTCAAAAAGCACCTTCCGAGCTATTGGAATTGCTGAATCTTATTGTTGATCTATACTGTTTGAAGAACAATGATGTTGGGAGTTTGAAATTTTTCAAGCGCAGATTAAAACAGAAGTTTGACGACGTTGAAGCACGACATTGTCATATGATGTCACTTTTAGACGATGCGTGGTGGGAGCAGTGCTTTGGTCTACACTATCCTCTTCATTTTAATTGGGTTATGAGTCGAACGTATATTCGATTCATAGGGTCCCTTATTGCTGATCTTCGTACTCTCTGCTCTAGTCTACGGTTGGATCATAACAGTTCAGTTCATGCAGTTTATATGAATGTATTAATGCGAGAAATTCGCATTATCCAGTCGCATCTAAACGATCTGATTTCTGACATTTCAAGCAAAGTCCATGCTCTTTCTCCTCGTAAGTTTCATTTTGGTATGTACATTGAAATTCGGCGTTTAATGTTATTTTTTGCTCTAGATCTTGAGCTTCAGTCCTTGAACTTGCTCGAGAATGAAATGGATATGGTATTGTGCAACTTTCATCAGATTCAAAAGCAGATTTTGAAGGAGAAATTGGTGACATTTAAGGATGTAGAAGGGAATATGCCACTGAGCTTTTTCCTTTTCTCTTTAAACTCATTTTGCAGCACGCTTGTGAATTTTCAGGATGCATACAACAGTCGAAAATACGACGATAGGCATCGAGTACGGTCCTTTATGAGAAATTCACTGAAACAGTTTGTTAACCCGAATTATTATCGCAATCCTTTGGTGTGGATAAATGCCTTTAAAATTACTGCCGCGATAATGCTGGGAGTAGCATTTAGTGTGGGTGTCTACGGATTTAGTGCAACCGTCCCATCCACAATTGCGTATATTATGTGTGAAACTATTGGCAGCTCGTTTCGGAAGACGGTGAATCGTGTGGGTGGAGTTGTCGCTGGAAGCGTTGTCCCTTCAGTTTTAAAATTTTTCTTAGTACAAATGTGCGATCCTATCGCCTTGAGCATTCTCCTATCTAACATGGTGATGTTCATCTGGGTTACAATGTGTATGTATGTATACTTTGGACAAGGGTATGGAAGCTATGGTGGTTTGGTGGCGGCATTTGTTGCTTCGGATACTCTACTACGTCAAACTGACATTTGTTATCCGAACGGATCCGACAATACAAACTCTATTGCTGTTGCTTCTTATTCCAGTCTCGCACAAACATCAGTGGCTGTTGTCATCTTTATCTCTGTGGAGACTTTAATTTTTCCGAGAAGCGCAGTATCAATGTTACGCTACAGTATTGCCGAATCACTCCACCTACATCAAAAGGTTTTTGATGTGATTTTTAAATATCACCTTTCGAGCGTCATGGAGATGGATGAAGTCAGTATTTTAGATGTGAGGCGAGTCTTGATGACAAAATTGCCACAATTTCTTGAGAGACAGCGGCAATTGCTTGCCGAAGCGATGATTGAACCTTTGCTTTGGCGGTCTAACTTTTCTTCCGAAGTGTACCGACGAGTTTTAATAATTTCTCAAGATCTGTTGAACAATATCTACATCCTTTTTAAATTACTGCGATGG